AAATGACATTTTTCACCACTCTTTTTCCTGTCTCTTATACACATCTAGATGTGTTCTACATAGGCCACTTATACCATCATATACATTTTAAATACGGTAACCAATCATTGATCAATCAACTTTTTCCTGGAACGTTCATCGTCGTGTAATTGTATAGGTACCTTTATTATCATACATACATAATTAATTAATTATATACTTTATTCCAAAATACAAATAAATTTTCTTCTTGATAACCTACAAATTTAAGTAAATTATTAAGTTAAATACTTTAATGTATGCAAGTGTCTGCCGATTAATGAATCACCCAAAGCGAATCCACCAACTGATTAAAGATTTAACAAACAATATTGCTATATTAACACACAACAGAAGTTAATGATCAAAATCCAATTGATTACCACTACTTCTACATAGGCCACTTATACATTTTAAATACGGTAACCAATCATTGATCAATCAACTTTTTCCTGTCGTGTAATTGTATAGGTACCTTTATTATCATACATCATACATAATTAATTAATTATATACTTTATTCCAAAAAAAAAAAACAACACATTTTTATTAGTAATCGTTATTTCAACACATTTTTATTATTAATCGTTACTTCAAAAAACACATTTTTATTAGTAATCGTTATTTCAACACATTTTTATTATTAATCGTTACTTCAATCGTTATTAATATTAGATTCCCCTGTACCACCACCTAACCCGCAGTCAACGTTGCACTGTACTGTACAGCGACATCCAATTCACGCTTTGATTATACACTACATGGCGTTCCATACAATAACCCTTATTTGGGCATTGAATATCTTACGGCCGAACAAGTTTACGGCCGAACCGGTCCTACACCGGCTTACGTAGGGCTACAGCGTACTAGCTAGGTGCTTGGGATCCTTGCACTACAGTAGGCCCTCCTCTTCTTCTTTACTAATTTAACAAGGGCATCAATAGCCCAATAAAAATATAGAATCCCGAATAATTATTAAATGAATATTTTTTTTTCTTTCATGTCAGACTGTAAAAAATGGCCCAATCAACTGATCACAATAAGGCATTTGATGAGCTATCACAATCTTTTAAGGAGAGAAAATTGTCAATTTCATCAAGTGGTATCCGTGCCTTTACACTTGAAAACAAAGAAGGCAGTACAATTCTTGAACTTAAAAGGTAATCAATGAAGGTGACCAAGGTTTGATTGTTTCAATATTTAAAAAATGCTATATTATTATTATTGAATTGATGGGTATGATGATGATAATATTTATGATAAAATTATGATGATGAAATTTATGATAAAATTATGATGATAAATTTTTGACTACTGTATATGATTAATACAAGGAATTAAATAATTGTTTCCACTGGACTTGTTTATTCAATTGCGAATACTGTACTACTTATTTATTCAGTAGTAAGTCCAGTAGAAACGATTTATTTAATTCCTTGTATATACACTCTTACCTGGATGAATATCAATATCCACAAACGTACTGTATAATGTTTTTAATCATTGGAAATATAGGTCTATATTGTATATCTACCATGTGGATAATATAATTTAATAAATGTTATGATGATGATGGAGGATAGACAGTCATGACGCTAATGATCATTTCTTATGGATAACAAAAGATTATAAAACAATTTTTTGAGGATAATGATGGTGATGATATGATGAGGAGAATGGTAATGATTATGAAGTTTCTGGTAATGTGATCCCTTATAAAAGGGTCACATTAATTTGTATATTATCATCATCATCCCGTATTGTAAAGTTTTTTTAATTGCGCAGATGATACTTCAAAAACTAGTTTTGGGCGGAAAATCGCTAGGAAAAAACTGTAGGTGCACAGAATCATAACTAAGTCTTTATAATACATTGGTTATGTTAAAATGAGGTCAAAGCCTAATTTTTGGCAAAATCTGCACAGAAATCAGCCCCCATTTTCCAAAATACGCGGACAGATCCAGGCCTAATGTTTGCCCGGATGATATATGCCACTCCCCGCGCAGGCCTTACTTTACAGTCTGGTCATCATCAGTATTCTGCATATTGCAGTTTGTATGAGTTAGTTTTCATAGTTCCCCCATTAAGTGCGATCTTCTGCCTTTCTTTTTATTGCAGTATAGCCATCCAATTCTAAATCGTATAATAAACCCTTTTTTTCTCCTACCGCTTCTTCTCTTCCCTTTCAATCTTCCTTCAATTACATCTTTCAGAAAACTGTTTCCCCTAAATATATAACTACTGAATAATTATTTTGATACAGGTTAAAAGAATGGCTACAATCCCAAACCACAGAGTTGGAAACTGTTTTGCAATTAAGAAAAACAAGAGAATCTGAGATAACAACAGATGTCAGTCATAGGTTTGTATGTACTGTAAATTTAGTCTTACAGTAGGGTGTCCATTGCAGATCTGAGATCACAATCCATTACAATAAATACAATTACATAAATAAATAAATTGCAATGATTTTCTATATTAAAGAATTATCAACAGTGATGAAACTGCTGTCAAATTTACCGTGTGAATATGATCACAATGTTATTATGATTACTGTATTGTTTAATAGTGCTTATTTTCTAATTTTGTTTTAATTAAAGGATAGTAGAATTACAGAAGGAACTGTTGAATGTTACATCCTCAAAGTCACTTAAAGACCTTGTTCTTGAAAGGTTTGTAAAATAAAAAAAATTTAATGCATCTTTCAAATATGTATTATCATCATTATCATTGTCATTATCATAATTATCCTCATACTTGTCATAATAGTTATTATCATGGCCGTAAACAATTATAATCACCATCTTTGCCATACCATAATGCTGTAAAAAGTATATAGTATTCATAGAGGAAGTGGTTTGGTTTTCCAACGTCGAGGTTGGGCTTGAATCCCTTACTGTGCACCTCGCTTGTGTCCTTAAGTAAGGCACTTTATCTGTGTTGCTTCTCTCTACCCAGGAGTATAAATGGGTACCTGGTGTGGTTGCCTGCTGCTGCGCCAATATGGCAGCAACACTCAAGCATGTGGACCAACTGACCAGGGACAACAAAGCACTTCTTAACCTAAAGGAATAGGCACTATATAAATACCAAGTAATAACAATAGAGACTTGATGACAATTTTATAGAAATATTTTCCAACTCGGTTTTTTTCTTTTCTCTAGAATGCAATGCAGTGATGCATTGTTGAACATTCTTTTTCCGCGTGAAACCCCGTCTTCAGAAGTCAAACATAGGCAAAAATATCTTGATCTTGTGGAACAACAAAACAAACTAGTGACAGAGATTCTAGGCCACCAGAAAGCTATTCAGAGAACACAGAAAGAGCTGGACACAGTGAGACAAGAGGCCATGGGTAAAGGAGCCATATTCTTCAGTTTCTATTTTTTAAGACAAAGAATATCCTGCTTGGACAAAATGACAGAACTGATTGTAGAAAATAGTCACTACTGCAATAATAGTATAATTGATTGACATTGAACTGATTGTATAAAATAGTCACTACTTTATAAATACAGTAGTAATAATAATTTATTGACATTTTACTCTCACAACACACAGCAGAAAGTGACACAGTCACACTAACATGCTGTACAGATCCATCTGACTACAAAGTATTAACATCTTAATATAATAAATGGGAAAAAACAGCAACAATTGTGGATCAAAAAGGGAACAAAAAGAATGTTTCTCCTGTTTTTGCTAAAGCTGATTGATACAGTCGTCCTTCTTTGTTCTTCCTTCACTTCATTTTTAAAAATCTTGAATCCGCCCCTGTAATTGATATAGTATTATTATATACAGTAATACTGTACATCATTTGCATTTTGAAAAGGCCATTATGTGTTTCATGTTATAAAACTTAGATTAGATCACATAGAACACATACACCACCCAGCTTCCTTGTTAAGTATTCCATAATGTTGAGACTATAATAATAATAATCCGTTCTTTGGCATTAGAACCTACCAGATACACACTGACACTCCTGGGTAGACAGAGACAATGTGGATGTAAGGAGAAGAAAAATCTATCTTTCCTAGGATATGAGAATACTGTACTACAGTACTACATTGAGAAATAGTAAATCCTTGCCGAGCCAATAGGGCCCATAGGGGCTGGAGCTTATTCCCAGACTTTATGCAGCATAGCATGAAGTGGATAAGAGTGATGCTCTTCACGGTGGGATGCTCATCACCGCAGGTTATTTTCAGCGGTTTGCTTGTACCCAGCTGGTAGATTGGAGCAGTGTAGATAAAGTGCTTTGCTCAAGGACACAAGCAAAATCTACAGCGAAAGGATTGAAACCTCGAGCTCGATGCTGGAGAGATAGTATAGGTTAACTGGGGATTTTTACAGTATGAAGAAAGACACAAGTAGTTTGACCATCTTTGAACTCACAACATCTTGATTTCAAGAACAAAGTTTTACCCCTACCCTACCCCACTACCTAGTATAGAACATGGATTAGACAGGACAAATTGAGGATTGTGAGCTAAAATGTTGATGAATTTATTTTTTCATTATATTTTTAATATTTTTATTTTTCAGAGGTGAAAAGGGACAACCGTGAACTGATGAGCATGTACCAACGAATAAAATCAGAGAATGAGAAAAAGAGAATGAAAAATAGCAGGCAAAAGGAAGAAGAATCGATGTAAGTTGTAACTAAACAATGAAGGTGTTGAGAAAGACGGTTAAGCATTTATTTCATACTTTGAATAATATTTTGATATTGTTTTGAAATATTTAACACTTGAGCTTCATGCCACTTTCATATAAACACTGCAGCACTTATTACATTATTCTATTTGGGAAATGTCACAGCAATTAATTGAGATTACATATTACAATGTGCCTTGATGTCTGACGTCATCGCAAAACTATTAAACCACTTAAACTACTTAAGCTACTGTAAAGTAAAAACAATATTTGAAAAATTAATTAGACATTTAGAAAAGATTAAACAGCTTATTTCCATTGGGTCCTTGAAAGGATCAAATAAGTTATTAACTTCCAACCAGGAACAGATCGGAAAATAAATTCGCTGATTTTACAGATATTTATTACAAAAATTCTGAAAATTGGTTATCAATCAATTTTATGGCTATATGCAAAAGTGTAGAGGAAAGTTGTTATCAATTATAACCTGTGTGTTAATAACCTGTGAGTATCACTCAATTGTAAGTTATTGTAATAATCTAATTGCTACATTTTTTTTCATGCAAACTTTCTTAACTTTTGATATACACTAAGTTTTAGGTGAATCATATTATATGTACTCATGAACCATCATTTATTATATTTAGGCACGTCCCTTATGCTGTGTAGTAAAAAAATCAGAAGTATTTGCATTTTATGATTTGTGTCATTTTTTCCCCCTTACATCTGTGGTAGAAATTAGAAAAATCCAACGAAATCAATTGGAACGTCGAACTAGTTAACTTCTAATGAGGCAAAAACTGAATCATGTCAGTTTTCACAGATTTACAGACTTTACTAAACTTAAGCCTGCTTGTTCTATATAATTATGACTTGCTTGTGAAGTTGTCATCTACAGTATTCTGTTTACATAACATTCCAAGCCAACATAGCCTGGTTGTGGTACCATAATTGTAATATTTTAGTATCACAAAACATAGCCTTATTGTGATGCCAAAATATTACAATTATATAATAGACAATCACCCTGACCATTTAAAGTGCTTAAATTACTGCATATTTTATAATAATTTACATTTATGTAGTGCATATTGCATAGTGCCTCTTTGCACCTTACATCAAATTATAAAACCATGATGACAGTAATATAATAATTATGGTGGTGCTAGGTCTCAAAGACTTATGTTATTGTAAATTTGAATTTGCGGCATAATGTTTTCTTTTTATTTTTCTGTTTGTAGACAAAAGGAACTTGACAATATTTCATCAAAAATAATCATTGCACAACATGTTCTGCAAGCATTGATCATAGGCAGTGGTGTCAATTGGGCCAAAGATAAACAGCTTCAGCAACTTCTACTAAGTCTGGGAGAATCCCTAGATTTTTCCCAGTAAAAGTGAACAAAAAAATGACGTTATTCAGAAATCAGCGCTTTTTTACATTGATGTCTGAGTGAAATTGATATAATATCTCTTTCTTGATACCATGTTAGCCTACTGTATGTCTCCTTAAATAGTATTATCTTCACCTCATTATCCTTCTTCACATTCTCCTCATCCCCTGTTTATAAATGTTGGCTTTTTCGATAAAACCATGTGACATAAAAACAATTCTATATACATTCTTTATTTTAAAAATAAATTTTTTTGATCAAAAAGGATTGATTTACTACTTGAATACCGTGAAACCTCGAATAGGAGCACAATGGGCTTAATCTTGAGAAGAAGCCATCTCAAATTGAAGCCCCCCCCCCCTCTTTAGTTTGCAAAATTAGCCTCGAAAAGAAGCCCATCTTGAGACCATGGGCTTCTTTTCAAGATAGTAAAGTACACACACTGTACATGAATTTGAAACAAACAAAATAATTTAAAAACACACCTTTGGTTTAGGTCATTTAATGCCAGTTAATACACTCCATGATACAGATTGATATTAAAATGACCCTATTTATTGTTTTATAGTAGGAATTCCCAAAATTTACAACATTCATTTTGAAAAGAAGCCCGCGCCCCCTTCCCATCTCAAAAAGAAGCCCATCCAAAGTTTGCAAAAAAAGAAGCCTAGGGCTTCTATTTGAGTTTTTAAGGTATATAGTTTGTTTTATTACTGTATTAGAAAGTGCTACCACCCTCAGTATTTTCCTATTGTTAAACTCATGCCTTGCTGTCACTATTTTTTAAAATTATTGTCTAATAGAATTTATGGATGTTCTCTCAAACCTGCGTTAAATCATGTGTGAACATAAAAATCACAAGTGATTCGGATTTCAACCGAAACCATGATCTTCAATACCATTAGAGTTTTCTAAGAGTTTAAATATCTAACTTTTGAATTTTTAGGTTTCTATTGTAATATTTGTGTTAATATTTTACAGTGCTAAAATGTTGTTACTATTTAGACTTTTATTATAATACGATCTTTTGTAAAGTTTCATAATTGTGTTTTTTGGGTTTTTTTTGGATGCACTTTCAAAATAATGAAGAGCACCACTGTTAAAATTGTGGTATTCGAATGAATTACTTTGCTTCTTCTTTACCATATTAAGTATTCCAAAATGTAATTGTACATAGTGATGAAACTTTCAATGTTATTTGTAGATTATATTTTCTATTGTATTGTATTAGTATAATATATAATTAGCATGAAACAGTCTGTAGAGTGACTATACCCAGTTCTAATTTTTCAATAT